GTTAGGAATCTACATTAATTGCGCCAAAACTTCATTTTTGCTCATCAAGCAATCCAAACCTGATTTGAAGTAACTTACAGTAAGAGGACGATGATGTCGAGCAATATTCACTTTGTTATCGGCGATGTTGATTTCCGTTTTATTTTTCTCCTCTTCGTCCTCACAGATTTCATACCGACCTACGATGCACATCAGGCCAGCATAAAATGTCATCTAAATGTTCACAGTAATTGAGAATAACAAAAGTCCAATTGCGACTCTGTAAAAGACATACGAAGCTAAGCAGTTTCCGCATTTGCATTTGGAAAAATCTGCTAGAATGCATTTCCGATGGAGTCATGTTATCTTACCTGGTAAATAAATGCCAGCACCATGGAAAGCATGTTTCCAGAGCACAAAAGTGTGATTTCCGGCGAAGAAGTATATGAACCAACAAAATCAGCAAAAACATTGGTTAAGCATGAGATAAGGATGGCGGGACCGACCTCGGAAAGCACCTAAAAAGAGCAAAAGAACAATTTGGGGGGAGGAAATTGAGCATGAAATAAAGTAGAGTGAAAATTTGCATACTTCGCTCATCCGATGTCCCACGCTATCCTTTTTCCTCGGTATTTCTTCTCGCATATGTTCTGTGACTCTTTGCCATTCATGAATCATCAGATACGAGGAGTCCACACCTAAAACCGTTGTACTCAAATTGTTGTCTTTTTTTGTTATCAGTTACTCTGAACCGGTAAAAGAGTTGCAGAGCGGAACTATATTACTTTCCGTGAAGTAGAAAAGTGGGGGAGGTAGAGAAGACGTAACTTTATATCTTATAGACGTCAGTTCTTCTTGATATAACGAATTTCGATATTGTATAGCAATGTAAAGACCCCCGTACTTCTACTCTCTGTCCACACTCGCCCGTGCCAGCGTCGTTCCTGCGCCGTGCTAGCACCGTACCTAGACCTATAGAAGATTCCGGCACCGTGGTAGCACGGCATTGACACAGCACTGGCACACAGGTGACTCTAGCGCCATAGCCGTATGCGTTTGCATTTCTAATGAAAGGAATGAAAGGTTACAAAATAATGTGTTAAGTACAGACTTGAGAACAGTGAAATTTATAAAAATTTGCTCAAGTAAACGCCGCCGTTTACGCTCTTTCTATTTTTTCCATGTAAAAACTCAAAATATCTTACCGATGGAAAGCACCAAGAATGGAATGACGCATAAAATCGAAGCAAATCGTACTCCACAAACGAACATTCCGGCTAGAGCCGTGGAACACGCAAGAAGAGGTGTGAGACAGGCCATTATTGCCAAAGCTGTCTGCAAATTAGATGTTCAACTGAATTTTGCTAATATTCTAATTCTTCTTGACTAACCTTGTACCAGTTTTCTTGGTGCATGTACAACGCTCGAATCATTACCGATACTATACTGCAGAAACACATAATTGCGAAGCCAACAACCAAATAAGGAAGCATGATGATTCCTCCTCTGACCATTTCCTCCTCTACATAAGACTGCGAATAGGCAAATACTTTGACCAGGTCAGAGTGATAGCTTCTGCAAAACACTTCGTATAGATTTTGGTTTGGGTAGATCTATCTATCATTTCGTGGCCCTACCGTTCAAAAACTTCTGTAAATTTCATCTCCCAGTGTTTGACATCGGCGTCAGTCCA